TAAACGCATGGGAAATTCTGACAATTGATTCTTTTACATTTCTTTTTTTGAAAATGACCTCTTGTCCATTATTTTCTATTTTCTTTGAAAATGAACATCGGCTGCTTTGTCCATTGTTTTCTATTTTCAAGGAATATTTTATTGATAGATTTATCTTATAAATTTATTTATTTTTGGTTTAAAGAGGTCACAATCATCTTTAACACTAGATATGAAATCTAATAATTTAAACTACTCATATAGTTTGAGAAATTAAATAGAGTAGAATGACAGATCAAGATTCGTATAGCCAATCCTAATTAATTGAAAAACAGCTATGATAATGATGATGATATAGTTTGAAAAATTATATTTTTGATAGTTTGCGTAGTCAATGACACATCCCCAGCCACTTGATTTCACATCTAACGATTGATAAAGTTTGTGACTTTCTTTTACTAAAAATACATGCTATTATTATATAAATTTCCTTAGTTTTATCTTGAATGTGGGACCATTTTATAATAGTTGCTCCATGCATAAAAAGGCACTCATTTTTACCAGCATGGAATCTTTGTTGCCGTTATACATCGTAACGTTTTGGCTGTTTTTTCATGTACTGCCTGTGTTTTTAAACCTTACCCTCTTGCACTTGGAATTATCTATTCTGTTGTGCTATTGGATACTGGTGCGTTTTCTTGTGCAGTGGGTTTAGATAGGTCTAGCTTTGTTCACTTAAAACTGTCGCCAAAGCCCTAGCCAAGTCATGAAATTCTTGCAAGATTTTTGACACAATTAGGAAGGAACATGTAAATCATGGTTCTTAACTCAAGAGCATCAAGGTGATAAATATCCTATTTTGGACAAGGGAGGCCAAGAGTTTGAAACAATATCCCTGTACCCGTTAAAATTAGAATCACTATCCTAGTATTTCTTCCAAAGATCAAAATTACTTAGGGCACAAAGTTATCCAAAATGAATTTCTTCACACCCGCTAATCTCTTGCTCCACATTTTTTTTTTTTAAAAAAAAAAAACCCCTTTCTCCACATGTTTTTTTTAACTTTAACCCCCTCATCTTTGCCCTCAACAAAAATCCTAATCCTGTTGTTTTTCTTTTTATTCCCCCCCTTAACTTCTCAACCCTCCTTACCCCGACTTATACTTTTTCTCTTTCCCTCTCTGGTGCACCCCATCTTCTCTCAACCTCTCTCTCACATACACACCACCCCCCATCTTCTCTCAACCTCTCTGTCACATACACACCCCCCTTCTCATGTTTTTTCAACCTCTCTCTCACATACACACCCCCCCTTCTCATGTTTTTTTGCTTCTTTGTTTAGTGTTTGTTGTTTTCAGTTTATTGCAACTTGGGGTAAGGCCATTGACAATTTGGGGGAAGATGGGGCGAGAGAGAAAGAAAGAGAGAGAGTTTAAGAGAAGATGGGGGTACCAGAGGGAGAGGTTAAGAGCTATTGTGACAGAAGGTTTGGTTAAACGGTGGGAATAAAAAGAAAAATGATGAGATTGGAATTTTCATTTAGGGAAAAGATGAGGGACTAAAGTTAAAAAAATGAGGGAGGAATGGGTTAGGGGGTGTGATTTTTTTTTTTTTTTTGGAGAACTCTAGGCCGCAAGCAATTACTTCTAGTATTTTGGGGATGAAAAAATATTTTGGGCTGATAATTATTCCTAAAAATAGCAAAAATTCTATAGTACTTAGCATGAAACTGGACACATGACTTCAATGGTTAGGGTGTTGATACTTGCGACACAATAACCATGCGCGACATACCTTGTATTTGTAACGGAAATTGTTTCATGTGAGTTGGACCGCATTTCTACATATGCGGTCCATAAAGTATAAAACATCCATCTTAAAAATGGATGCAAGTAGGTGTTCCATAAAAAAAACAATAGAAACTAACGGTCCAAACGTTTTCTTGCTAGAATTACTATTTCTATTTCTTAAAATTTATTTATTTTTTCATATTCATGATCTCCATGTTAGAGATTACACGTCCTTAAAAATTAAATCTTAAGATCCATATCAAAAATCGATTTATTAAAAGGCTTGCATTTCTACATATGCTGGCCACATAAAAACCGGGTCCATTTGTAAAATACTGTCAGTTTTATGCTCATTATGTAGCTATAATTATCCCCAAAAAGAGAGAAGCATTTATTTTGGATAAATGTAAATAACCAAACACTCTAAAGCACATTCCTCACACTTTAGCCCCATTATGCATTCTGCATATATTAAGCCATAAGCATGGGATATGACCTGTGGCATTCAAATAGAAAAGGGCCTCATAGAAAGAGAGATTTTAAGGTAGAAGAGATGAAGTTTAAAGTAGCACATTGGATTTTAGGGTATTTCTTTTTACTATTCATGGTTCTCTTCTGTTCTCCTCTTTTTGTCTCTCCAAGTTCCATGTGAAATTTTTCTTTCCTATTTCAAACGATAATTTATAGTCGGGGTGAGGTTCTATAAATCACTCTCCTTACACTGTAGAAGTAAAACACACCTTCAAAATTCGGTTGAGATGTAGTTTCATTATATGAAACCTTAGGATGACTTAAAATCCATGTTATCCCTAGTTATCAAATATTAAAATTTAAAAATGGAATATATCGAGTAGATCTATAAATACTTGAAAATATTTAAACAAGATGGTTCATATAACTTTATTTTTTTACTTGAAATTCTTTTTTTCTCTTTATATCTACACATATTGAGGTCAAGATGATCAATTTGACAGTTGTCCAATGTCGGAAACCTTCTTCTTGAGGATCTTTGAGGTGTACTTTACTTCAATAGTATACGGTTTCAACCTTATATAATTTTTTTTTAAAAAACAATTGCAGTAGATTAACAATATTTAAAAATAAAAATGATTTTGAGTTTGTAAAATCTTAGATATTGAAATTTACCAAATAGATGGTCTAGATACATCGTTGGAAGTGAACTTATTTTAACTATATCAAGGGTGCAAATTGAATTTTATTTTTTTGGAGATTGGTTATTGGGATGAAGAGAAGGTATGTACAAAATTTGGGGTCACACAAATCCCACAAACATAGTTTTGTAGAAGTATGGTTTCACTATATTACAATGAATGACACGGTGACTTGAAATCACTCCCTGTATATATCGGGATTGTTTAGAAAGAAACTATTTACCTTTTGTACAAGGAGTTCACAACTATTCACATTCATTAGATGTCTAATTGGATGGCTTTGGGTGAGTCACGAAATCTGAGTTTTTTTTTTTTTTGGAACTTTGGATCTTATCAATGACGCTCTTATAACCACCCATTTTGAAATCTAAAGAACATGAATGCTTCTTATTTTCTAATACAAAAGGTAAATGGCCTCTTTATAAACAATCCCATATACATATATCCCATAAACCTGCATTCCAGAACCCTAAGGACCACACTTCATATACAATATGACCATCAAACTATAATCCACATCCCAAGTCACCAAAATTCTAAATCCCAAAGCCATAGAAGAACATATCTAGATATTAAAGCACCAGACAACTTTTGGATTAGCCATCCTTGAAGGTGAAGGAGTGAAGATGTAAACGTTTTGTCTGGCCTTATCTCCGGGTGCCAGGCCGAGGGCGTCGTCATGCAACCAGATACAAATCTAGTCTTTCACGCTCGTATCGAACATAGATATTGATTATTACTTCATTAGAAAAAAAAGTGGCAAAATGAAACTATTTTTATGATATTTGTCCCTTCGCTACATCAAATCTGGTGATATTTTTATGATATTTGTCCCTTCACTGCATCAGAGCGTAGACCAGTTCACCAAAGCACTTAAGAAATAGAAACATCTCGAGTCAACAAGCTCTTAACGCGCAAGATGCATGCTCGCCATGAGGGGGTTTTAAGGTTGTACATTGTCATTTTAGTATTCTTCTCATTATTTTTATTTATCCTTAAGGGTAATTTGGTCATTTGTATCACTTTGTATCATATATTATATAGGAAAAAACTACCAATAGGTTCGAGCCATAATGAATAATAATATAAATTGACTTCCAACTATCAGAATTGGGTCATATGTTTTTTTATATTTCGGATAATTCAGTGGGAATAGGGTCCTCTATCTGTAGCAGGAATGGTCCTCAAAATATCATGTTATGGTAATCCACTACCCTTACCACCTAGCCTTGAGCCCATTCTTATCTTTGACCATACAGTTAAAAATACATATCAGTATTTGAATTTTACATTTTTTTTACAAAATCGGAGGGAGATGGAATTTTGGATGTATGTACTAAAAATTAGGGTACATAAAAAAATTATAAAAAAAAAGAAAGATTTTTATACTTCCTTTATAGCATAGCAGATCTATGCTTCCCCTATCATCCAGCCGTCCAATTTTCATCAAGAGAGAGCTACTCACCATTTGATCTTAGATCCGACGTCCCAAAGAATTTTATTTTTAGTTTTTTTATACAAAAGCTATGAATATGAAATTTGGTACGTGTCATCTTTTCATTGGATCGCACCTATAAAAAATATTAAAAATAATTTTTCGATAAAATATAATGACCAAAATATCCCTTGAAATTTTCAGGAGTATTTTGTTCATTTTATTTTATTGAAAATATTTTTTTAAATATTTTTTGCTAGTGCGAGTTTAATAGAGGATTTGATGTACAAAATTTAGTTTCAAATAGTTTATAGAAAAAAAAATAAAAATAAAATAGTGTAGAGACGTGACATTGTGATTGGGGCAATCTTAACCCTCCATTCAAAATGGACGGTTAGATAAGGAGAAGTATATAAGTTTTATGCTGTAAAAGGAGCATAGAAAGCTTGCGCTAAAAAAAATACTTTTTAAATTTTAAAATAATCAAAATACCCTTAAAAATGGGAATGGTAATTTAGTTTCACATGCACGCTTTATTAACACCGAACAAAATTGCCCCTACGCCATGTTTAGAAGAGGACACATTAACGCACAAAAAAAAAAAAGAAACCTCTTATATAATTATCAAACAAAATGCAAATTTTGTTTCACTTTTGAAATTGAGATAGAAAGCTGTCCCCAACGAGAAGGTGAAAAGTGCACACAAACTAAAGGAAAAGAGTGAGTTGCTTCTTTTACAGGCCCTCTGTGTAGGCAACTCCAGTGGCCTGCAACCACTCCCCTCCCTGTATGAACTCCCCTACGGTAAACTTCTTGGCCTCATTTGCATCAGTTATCACATGGTAGCCCGGCCACTTTACGCGCCCGCTTGTTCCCGCGCCTGGTCCGCCGTTCATGTACTCTGCATAGTATAATGTCTTCAATGCAAATCCCCCACTCCATGGCAGCCATCCTTCTGCAGCTATATGGTCCCCGATGTTATTCTGCATATATACGGTTCGAGAATATTCTTTCCATGGTCGTCCCAAGTAGGTGGGGAGTATGTTCTTGACGGGTTCTAAGTCGGTGCTAGCTTGAATTCGCGAAAACTGGATAGTGGTGCCTGTGTTTTGGTTGGGGTCAGTACGCCCTTGGGCTGTTACGAGGTTTTGTTGGTTGGACATGGGCTTGCGGGCGATGATGGTGCAATTCTGCAGTACGACAGCAGCATTACCAAAGATGAAGTCGATGGTGCCAGAAATGACAGAGTCACGGTAGAATTGACGTTGGGAATGGGCATAGAGAGTGTCCTGGTAGCCTTCGATGCGGCACCTGTTTATGATAGACTTGTCAGCGCCCACGCGCAAGGCCACTGCTTGGTGCTTCTTCGGGCCAGCGGTGTTCTGGAAGCACATGTCTTGTGCTATGAAGCCTTCTCCCACTACCGCTGTATTGCCAATCGGAGTGCCGGCAAGTAGCAGTTCAGCCGTTGAGCGATTGAAAGCCGGTTAGAACCCAAAAATGTACTTAAAATTTTAAAATTTAAAATTTTAAAAATAACTTTCTTTTATTAAATCCAACTTTTTACCGGACCAACTTGGTTTAGGGTCTAGTTTTTGTCGGACCAGAAATGCTTGATTATGTGGTGTAGCCCGCCTGTGGTCTAGTCCCCAAAATAACGGTTGGGGAACTTTTTATTTTATCTATAAAGCTTTTATTTTGATGGTGCAGTAGGCATACGGATGCATCCGTAGTTGCGGTAAGGTATGCCTTCAAAATTTATCATGGTGTATAACTTTGATGTAAAATGCTCTTAGGATTATCTCAAAATCTATTTTTATATCTAATTATAAAATTTTAAATTTAAAAATGGTTCGAAGTAGATCTATAAACATATGAAAATCTTGAAAATGGACGGTGTAGATAATATGTCGTAAAATGTACTATTTCTGAAACGTAAAATCTTTTTATTTTTCATGGTCATACATCTCGATGTCGAGGTGATCAATCAAAGGGTTTTCCAATGTTAAAACTACCTTTTTCGATGGATTTTTGAGGTGCATTCGTAGTTCTACATTATAAGGTTGCATCCTTATATAAACTTTTTTCTTATTGTGATCTACCTTGCAGAAAAGTAAAAAAAAAAAACAATTGCTTTTTAGCAGTTTCCCACTACTCCGGCGAGCCAACCCAAACTCGCCGGAGTAATTTGTGCTTGCCGCTGCGGTGAGCCCCAGTATCCTGAGTTTGGTAGTCAAGTCGGGGATATTAAAAAAATAAAAAGTAAAATAAATTTATTTATACTATGTTTTTTTATATTTTCTATAATTTTGACAAAGATTGGAAAATGGTTTGACTATGAATAATCTTTTTTACATTTTCATTTATTTATGAATTATATCTAAAATACCCCCAATCACAAATTGATTTTTTCAACATCTACTTTTTTTACTACTTTTTAAACCTTATTTAGATGTGTTTTGTCCAATTCTACTTTAAACATATTTTCCATATTCTTTAAAATCTTTTATATTTTTAATTTTTAAAAATTTCAGTACTTTTTTCCTCGAGCCTAGTAATTCGGAACTCGACCCTAGTCACTCGGCTACTCAGGCTAGGCCCTTGGCCAAATTCCGTCGCTAGAGTCGTGGTTTCCAACATTACTTTTGAGCTCGCAAATCCTAGATCAATCCCCCCTGTAACAAGGTTAAGTATTAAATTGTTAGGACTTTAGGAGGAAATGATTCGTAGCTTGTTTTGAGCTACAAATCAATTTCTTCTTTTTTGGAATTATGGTGAGGTTATTAGAAAACAACACAAACTTTTTCATATTAAAGAAGTTCCCCAACTATATTTTCAAGTGGCTAGATGAGCATAATGTGTAGGCCACGCTACACGACCCTATACGCGGCCTAGTAGGCGAATATGTCGATAAGATCAGCAAAGTGATTTTGTTAAAAAAAAAAGATAAAAAGAAAGAGAAAAAGAAAAAAAAAAAAAAAAAAAGAGGGTAGAATAGTGTTCTAGGGTTACTAAAGGCAGGCGATGGTGTTTTAAAACCTAGTGATTTATGATATGCATCGCTCATTCGGGTAGGAATTGGTGGGGATTGAACTTGTTCTGGGGTGATATGTGTCACCGTCGGGTTTCCTCCTAATTTTTTCTTCTTCTTTT